TCAGTGGTCAGGCACCCCGGGTTCAATCCCCAGTATCAGGAAAACACTGAACAAAACTAAACAAAACCAAAATCAAAAACAACAACAAAACAAAGAGAGAATGATGAAACAACCAAAGTTCTTTAGTAAACAGCAAGCACTGTTCATCTAAAGGGCATCTGCACGCCCATTCTAAACTTTTAAAAAATTAGATAGTAAGTTGATAGGAATATTAAAGAATTCTTAAAAGTAAACTTCTAGTTTAATGTAACTACTATTAATTTGAATAATGGTTTGAGTGTATCCCTCAAGAGTTAACGTATTGGAAGCTTCTTCCTCATTAGTAGAGGTCCGTAGGGCATTGGGGGCATACCCTTGGAAGAGATCAATGGAGTTCTCATGAGGGTCCTGATCTGCCTCTCTCGATTTCTGCCTTGCCATATGATCTCACTCTCTCCATCTCTTTCTTTTACTATCCCCTCCCCTCCCCTTACACTTCTACCAAGAGGACTTCACCACAATTAAGCTGATTCTGATGCCATCACCTTGAACATCCAGACTTATAAGCTAAATAAATCTCTTCTTTTTATAAAGTATCCAATCTCAGGTATCTTGTTATTATAACAGAAAATGAACTAATACAGTAACCAACTAACTACATTCATAATTATAAATGACGTATATTTTAAGTATTTCTTTCATAAAAAAGGAGGTAAAATGTTATATATGTATTGTACATTATATGACAAAAAACTGTATTTGCAAGAAAAATCAGCATGAGGAGGGAAAAACTATATCTGCCTTTAAACATAATTATAGATTGATATTTACTATCTTTAATTAATTAATTATTTTATTACTGGGAATTGAACTCAGAAGCCCCTAATGACTGAGCCACATCTCCAGCTCTTTTTATATTTTATTTAGAGACAGGGACTCGCTGAATTGCTTAGGGCCTCACTGAGTTGCTGAGGCTGGCTCTGAACTCGTGATCCTCCTGCCTCAGCCTCCTGAGCCACTGGTATTACAGTCATGTACCACCATGCCTGGCACTAATTTTTTCTTTTAAATATTTTTTTAGTTGTAGGTGGACACAATACCTTTATTTTCATTTATTTATTTTTATGTGGTGATTTTATGTGGATAGAACCCAGTGCCTCATTCTTGCTAGGCGAGTTCTGTACCACTGAGCCAAAAACCCCCTAAATTTGTTTTGAAGGTGAGCTTCCATAACGAAAAGTAGACCAGAAAAAAACATTAAGTCAAATGCAAGGAGAAGATTAACACTTCTCAGCATGGGAGTTAATCCAGCAAGGAAGATATTCAAAGACAAAACAGTTCTTAACTCTTATAAGTTATCTTTGACGTAAAGAAGAAAGACTTGTTTCAAGATCTGTGAGTTTTTATTTTTTTATTTTTATTTATTTATTTATTTTTTTTTTAAAGAGAGAGTGAGAGAGGAGAGAAAGAGAGAGAGAGAGAATTTTTAATATTTATTTTTTAGTTCTCGGCAGACACAACATCTTTGTTGGTATGTGGTGCTGAGGATCGAACCCGGGCTGCACGAACGCCAGGCCAGCGCGCTACCACTTGAGCCACATCCCCAGCCCCAAGATCTGTGAGTTTTTAAAATTTTATATTTCAGGGCTTTCAACTCAGGAATTATTATCTAACAATAAAACAATGGTGGCCATTGACTGTGTTGTAGTAAAAGCAAAAGAAAAGTAGCTTCTTAAAAAAAAAAAAAAAAAAAAAAACAAGGAAATGATTCCTGATTTATCCTCTGCAATAGCAACATTTTGCGTACTTTTTTTTTCCTAAGGAAAGAGTGTATTACAAAGAGGACATACAGAAATAGAAGCCCATAAGGCTGAAGTAGGCTTAAAGAAAAATCACTTCCTCACAGAGGTTCACCCCTAAATGAAGAAAAAGGAAAGTAAGGGGCTGGGGATGTGGCTCAAGAGGTAGCGCGCTCGCCTGGCATGCCTGTGGCCCGGGGTTCGATTCTCAGCACCATACACAAAGAAAGATATTGTGTCTGCCAAAAACTAAAAAATAAATATTTTTTTTAAGAAAGGAAAGTAATTAATAATATCAACTTCATTTCCATTTCTTCGTGAATGTTTAAACCAGAGATAGAAAAATGAAGAAGAGAGATACGTACATCCTAGACACCAACGTTTCTATTTAAACCTCTGTAAGAAAGAAATCTGAAGGATCAAGAATTTCTTCCTGGAACTGAAATCAGGTTGGAAGACTCTTTGAAAGTCTATGTAGGTGGCCTTGAAAAGTTTCCAAAAGGCTTCCTTTGCCTGATCAAAAATGCGGCACTGTGGCTGGAAACACACAATAGCCTGACTCTACTTAGCAGAGACATGTCCCTTGGGTATAAGTGACATGGGGAAAATAGGCTTGCCAACGGAGCCTTTAGTCATTCTTTAACCCAGGAAGGAGCTAATGTATATTTGGAGACTTCTTTTATTACAGAATGTAAGTGAGCTGAAATGGTTTCTTTTCCTGTACTTAAAACAGTTATAATTCAGCTAACAAATCTCTAATTAGTTCTTTGACCCGCAGAAAGCAGACAATGCTTTCCACGAAGAGAATTAAAATTTCTTAGGTTTTCATAAGAAATGATAGGCTTATCATTTAGCAAAATGTTTGGTGCTTGCTTACTTATCATCTGGGTTACTTAAAATGCAAATTACCAAACCCCATGCCCAAAGCTCTTGAACCAGCAGTAGTGGAAACTCAAGAAATACATGTTTTATGTGTATTTTCATGTTCATTCCATGGGAATCCAATTTAGGCACTACAAGAAACAGAATATGTGGAACACTGCTCTCCATTCTGAAAAATGGTCCTAACTATACTACCAAAGAAAGAAAAATAGCAACAAGAAGCAATTTACAGACTTCTAGACATAGTAATTGCAAAAATATTTTCCTGCTACCTTAATATAAAGGGTGCCTCATGGCTTGTGCAGAAATGGGTTATGGCTCTTAGATAGAGGTGTATCTCTTATAAAAATAGGAGTATTCCTTGGATCAAATACTGACCTCTAAATTTTCTGGATACATTCAATATAATAATTAAGCTCACTCTTAGTTCAAATTTTACCTTAATACCACATGTGAAGATTCAAGAATGGTAGTGCATGTGTGAGGAGGGGACAACACACACACACCATCATTACTTAAAATGTGTTTGAAGAGCTAGGTTCAGTGGCACATGTCTGTAATCCCAGCTACTCCAGAGGCTGAGGTTGAAAGATTGCAAGTTCAAAATCAACCTGGGAAATTTAGTGACACCCTATCTCAAAATTAAAAAATAAAAAAGATTGGGGATATAACTCATGAGTAGAGCAACCCTGGATGCAATCCCCAGTATTGCCAAAAAAAAAAAAAATAGAGCCGAGGATATGGCTCAGTGGCTTAACACTTGCCTGGCATGTGAGAGACTCTGAGTTGAATCCCCAATATTATGAATTATGAATTCCCCTTTCATAAACAACTCAATAGTTCAGAGTACTACAGTATAGCAAGACAGAGGAGTCAATTTATATAAATGTTCTGGATTGCAAAGCAACAGATGGCAACTGCCAAGTAAGCGATCTTTTCAATTGAAAAAATTCTTATGTCTAGGACATAGTTAATTGCTGTGTCAATCTCATTCGGTAATTATGGTTCAATGAGGAATGGTATAAGAAGCTAGAAAGAAGACAAGGGGAGGTTGTGTGGTACCCATAATGTTCTAAGTAGCATCTACAATGCTGTCCCTTTAAATCACAGGGTGGACTAACAATTACCTAAAGGACAGGAGCCAAGGGAAATATAAGAGAATATGGGAGTTGGAAGTACTCAGCTTGTGGGAAGCAGAAAATGCTTTCATATTTTCTTCCTAGAATGTCATACAGAGCACATTAAGGTTTTCAAATACGCAAGTATTTAATCTTGTTTTTGCTAAAATCAGTAAATAACTGGAAAGGGAGTGAGTCTATTTGGGGCTACAAAATAAAATTTTTAAAAATAAAAATTGGGGGGGCTGGGGTTGTGGCTCAGCGATAGAGCAACTTACCTAGTACGTGTGAGGCCCTGGGTTCGATCCTCAGCACCACATAAAAATAAATAAAATAAAGGTATTGTGTCCAACTACAACTAAAAAATAAATATTAAAACAAAAATAAAATAAAAAGTTGGGAGGGGCTGGGGATGTGGTTCAAGCGGTAGCGCGCTCGCCTGGCATGTGTGCGGCCCGGGTTCGATCCTCAGCACCACATACAAAGATGTTGTGTCCGCTGAAAACTAAAATAAATAAATAAATATTAAAAAATTCTCTCTCTTCTCTTCCCTTCTCTCTCTCTCTCTCTTAAAAAAAAATTATCTCTCTCTTAAAAAAAAAAAAAACCTTGGGAAGAACAGAGAGATCTTTTTTAATAACTTGAAAGATAAAAAGATAAGATAAATAACTTAAAAAAGAAAATTCTTTTTCAGACAGAAGCAATTATTTACAACTGTTCTAAATGAGGCATGGGTAAAGTACTTTTCTATAACTGAATCCATAAACTAATTTCTTTCAAAACCATACATGGCATATTTTGGAGCTGCAATTTAAAAAAAAGAAGAAAGCATACAGAAGCATTAGCAAACTGTTTCCTATTGTGTAAGACCCAGCTATTCATTTTTTTTTTTTTTAAGAGAGAGTGAGAGAGGGGAGAGAGAGAATTTTTTAATATTTATTTTTTAGTTCTCGGCGGACACAACATCTTTGTTGGTATGTGGTGCTGAGGATCGAACCCGGGCCGCACGCATGCCAGGCGAGCGCTCTACCGCTTGAGCCACATCCCCAGCCCCCCAGCTATTCATTTTTCCTGAGAGTTACTGAATCCAAATTCCTGAAAAATAGAATTTTTGCTTGGGAAAAACAAACACGTTAAAAAAAAACAAAACAAAACAATTCTACTTGAATAAATAGAACTATAAACACTTGAAATACAAAAGACAAATCGGATGACATCTTACCTTGTTACCACCTTCAGGTTTAAGGTCACTCTGTTAAAAAGAGGAAAACAATGTTTTAAGAAATATCCAAATGGACTAAGGCAGAAGAACCTCAAGTTCAAAGCCAGGCTCAGCAAATTAGCAAGGCCCTAAGCAACTTAGCATGAGCCTGTCTAAAAAGGCTGGGGGATGTAGCTCAATGATTAAGCCCCCCTGGGTTCAATTCCTGGTACTAAAAAAAAAAAAAAAAAAAAAAAAGAAAGAAAGAAAAGAAAAGAAATATCCAAATGAACTCTTAATATGTTCTTGTTTCTAACCTTGAAACATGAGACTACATTTGCAGGGCAGAGAATTCTTAGGAGACCTACAGGTCTGAAAAAAAGGAATGGCACCCCACCCTTAGCATATCAGGGTCTCCTGTTAGAATAGTATGTCTAGAAGGCTTAAAAGTCCATAGATGACAAGTCTAGTGGTGTATGTCTGTAATCTCAGTGGCTTAGAAGGCTGAGGCAGGAGGATCTTTAAGTTTAAAGCCAGCCTGAGCAACCTAATGAGGTCCTAAGCAATTCACTGAGACCCTGTCTCTAAATAAAATATAAAAAAGGGCGGGGATATTGCTCGGTTGTTAAGCTCTTCTGGGTTCAATAAAAAAGTCTGTAGTTAGTTATCTTTTTAGCTAGGGACTTGTAAAAACAACCACACCTATTTTAAGTGCAGATGTTGCTAACTACAATACAATAATCAAAAAACCAATAAAAATAATCCAAAATCAGCTCCCTTAGCTTTTCAAAGTTACTATTAGCTGCACTCTAAGGCAGGATGATAATGGAGAAAAGTCAGCCTAATGAATGGTTAAATGAATTTCTATTTTAATAATTCTTTCTCTCATGCAGTTCTATGGCTGTTGCGTCACTTTCTCTGCACAAGTGCTTCTAGCCCTCTAATAGTTCTTACCGGATGGACGTCACCGATGTAGTACTGCTTTAGCATTTCTCTGGCATCAGAGGAATGGCCTACATCTTCAAAGCTTTCAGTTGAATCTGTACCAGCTTGTTCTAGCAAAACCTCTTCTCCACCAGGATGCTACAAGAAAAAGATATTTACTGAACAGAGGAGTGTCTGAAAAGAAAACCCATTTAAGTTTCTTTCCTGTCCTCCTTCCTCTTCTCTCCTTTAAATGGGAGTAATGGAACAAATTGACATTGTGTACCTATAAAGATGCAATGAGAAGAAAGCAGCATAATTTCTAGCAAATTCTGGCCCAAACTGCATAATATGGGTATTATTGTTAGGAAAGATAAGACAAGTGCAAACTGACCAATAACCTACAGCGTGGCCTGTGATTTTCAAAAACACTGAGGTCGGGCTGGGGCTGTAGCTCAGTGGTACAGCACCTGCCTCACATGTGTGAGGCACTGGGTTCGATCCTCAGCAACACACAGAAATAAATAAAGATATTAAACAAAACAAAACACTGAAGTCATGAAAGTCAAGAAAAGACTGAAGAAATGACTATTGATTATATAACTCACTCTACCACTGAGTTATACAATAGCCCTTTTTATTTTTTATTTTGAGACAGAGAGTCAATAAGTTACCCAGGCTGGCATCAAATTTGTTATCCTCCTGCCTCAGGCTCTGAGTAGCTGAGATTATAGGCATGCACCATATGACTGGATAGATTGATTCCTTTTGCCAATAGTATTGAGACTACTGCAGAAAACCAAATGGGGAGGGACTCTAGGGTATACGAAATTCTTTATTGCGGTCTTCAATTTTAAATTTACAATTTTTTCTAAATAAAAAGTAAATAGGGGGCTGGGATTTTGGCTCAGTGGTAGAGCACTTGCCTAGCATGTATGAAGCACTGGGTTTGAGTCTCATCATCACATATAAATAAATAAAGGTCCATTGACAACTAAAAAATATTAATTTAAAAAAAGTAAATAGCACAGATGAAGTAAATTCCATAAATATAAGCTATTTGAACACAGACAAGTTATTCAGAAATTGAGATATCTGGGGTGGGGTGGAAATATGAAAGACAGTAGAATCAATCAGACATTACTTTTCTATATTCATATATGAATACAAAACCACTATTAACTCCACATCATGTACAACAAGAAGAATGGGAAGTTATACTCCATGTATATATAATATGTCAAAACACATGCTACTGGGCTGGAATTGTAGTTCAGTGGTAGAGCGCTTGCCTAGCCTGTGTGAGGTTCAATCCTTAGCACCACATAAAAATAAATAAATAAACTGGGCATGGCACATGCTTGTAATCCCAGTGGCTTAGGAGTCTGAGGCAGGAGGATCTCAAGTTCACAGCCAGCTAAAAAAAAAAATAAAAATAATAATAATAAAAAAAATTTAAAAACAAGTCAAGAGCTTTGTAATGTTTTGAACAACCAATAAAAAAATTGAATCTAATGTATGAAATATGATATGTCAAGAGCTTTGTAATTTTTTGAACAACCAATAAAAAAAAAAAAGTTCAAAGACAGACTCAGCAAAAAGCAAGGTACTAAGCAACTCAGTGAGACCCTGTCTCTAAATAAAATACAAAATAATGCTGGGAATGCGATCAGTAATTGAGTGCCCCTGAGTTTAATCCTAGTACTCTCCCCCATAAATAAATAAGTAAAGATATTATAGCCACCCATAACCTAAAAAAAAAAAAAAAAACCACACTCTACCATCAGGTATAACTAAAAATATATAAAAATTATTATTATTTTTTTAAAGAGAGAGTGAGAGAGGAGAGAGAGAGAGAGAGAGAGAATTTTTAATATTTATTTTTTAGTTCTCGGCGGACACAACATCTTTGTTGGTATGTGGTGCTGAGGATCGAACCCGGGCCGCACGCATGCCAGGCGAGCGCGCTACCGCTGAGCCACATCTCCAGCCCTATAAAAATTATTTTTAAAATGAGATGTCTTAGTAGCCTCATTTGTAACATGGAAATTTTTTAAGAGTGCCTATTTCAACAAGTGTTTATTTATTTATTTTTTTTGTGTGTGTGTGTGTGTATGTGTGTGTGGGTGTGTGTGTGTGTTTTCTGGTACTGGGAATTGAACCCAGGGATACATTAACCCTGAGTTATACCCCTAGTCCTATCTATCTACCTACCTACCTACCTATTTTTTGAGACAGGGTCTTCTTACATTGCTAAGATGGGCCTGGAACTTGTGATACTCCTGCCTCAGCCTGCCAAGTCACTGGTATAAAAGGCATGTTACCACCATATGTGGCTGCTAATTCAACAATTAGTCTGATTACTTAGATACAGAAATAAAATATTCTGTACTTAAGAAAAGGAAGGTACAAGAGGATATTACACTATTACTTATGACTAAATAGAGTAGATACATAGATGCTTGTATTTGTACACAATATCCCTGGAAACATTGAAGAGAACTTGGTGGCTAGGAGATAAGGTGGAAGGAAGATTTTTCACTATATATACCTTGAAATTGTTTTACCAAGTAAAATATTATCTACTCATAAAAAATTTACTTGTTTTTAAAATTATATTTAGTAGAGTCTAACTTAAATACTCAATACATTGACTTATAATTGGCCAATTCAAAATTTATACTATTCAACAAAACAAATCCAAAATTATATTTCTGAAATATGAAGTGATTCTCTTTGGTGGTGGTGTTGGGGGGGCATTCCCAGGAATTGAACCCAAGGCTGCTTTACCACTGAGGTACAACCCCAGCCCTTTTTATTTTTATCTTGAGACAGGGTCTCACAAAATGGCTTAGAGTCTCACTAATTTCTGATATTGGCCTCAAACCTGTGATCCTCTGCCTCAGCCTCCTAAACAGCTGGGATTACAGGAGCTATTGTGCCTGGTTGAAGTAATTCTTTTTTATTAGTTACTCTTAAAATAATAACTAGTTAAACAACAATAATGTAACGATTAGTTTAACATAAGTATATGAACTCTAAAAGTGCTGGGTAAACTGGATCATGGACGTAATCCCAGCTATGCAGGAGGCTAAGGCAGGAGGATCACAAGGTTGAGACTAGCCCAGGCAATTCAGCAAGACACTGCCCAAAACAAACAACAAACAAAGGTCTGGGGATATAGCTCAGTGCGAAGCACTCTTGGGGGTTGGGGGGCAGAACTCTGAAAGTAACCTCCCAAACCTTAATTCACAAGCTTACTAAGGACAAGAACAAGTTCTATTTTGGTCCCTTAAAATATCTCCACCCAAGGGTATTTAAGCATGCTATTTGAAAGCAAAAGTAAGATAGCCACCATTCACTTGTTATTATATCTGAAACCTATCAGCTCTGTTTCATCTTAAAATGAAACTAAGCTATTAGTTTTGGAATTACATCCCAATTGCTCTGTGTGTGTCTGAACTGTGCAAGATACTATTCCCTCATGACACATACCAACAATTATGTTGCCTTTCATAGGAAAAGAATAACAAAACTTGTAAGTGGCTTGAACTATTTCAGGGAATAATAGAATTTATGACTTCCTACACAGCTCCTTCTATAAAGTATCTACATTTTTACTAATCATCTCTTACAAATAAATAAATAAAGAGCAACATTTTTAAAAAGTAGATAATTTGGTACATAAAACTTCATTGTTTTTCTTGTGCATTCTCTTTTTTTGGTAGGATTCATGTTTCTTTTTTTAAAATATTTTTTAGTTTTAGAAGAACACAATATAGGGGCTGGGGATGTGGCTCAAGCGGTAGCGCGCTCGCCTGGCATGCGTGCGGCCCAGGTTAGATCCTCAGCACCACATACCAACAAAGATGTTGTGTCCGCCGAGAACTAAAAAATAAAAATATTAAAAATTCTCTCTCTCTCTCTCTCCTCTCTCTCTCTCTCTCTCTCCTCTCTCACTCTCTCAAAAAAAAAAAAAAAAAAAAAAGAAGAACACAATATCTTTTCTTATTAACTTTTATGTGGTGCTGAGGATTGAACCCAGGGCCTTGCGCGTGCGAGGCAAGTACTTTACCACTGAGCCACAACTCCAGCTTCTCTTGTGCATTCTTTTTATACGGTTTTTATTGAGTCCTTACTATTTTATACACTAGGTAGTGATAAAGAAAAGGTTTTGTATTTTTACAAAAGTGAATCCATATACTACATGCTGTTTTATTTTTATTTATTTATTTATTTTTTATTTTTTAGTTTTCGGCGGACACAACATCTTTCTTTGTATGTGGTGCTGAGGATCGAACCCGGGCCGCACGAATGCCAGGCGAGTGCGCTACCACTTGAGCCACATCCCCAGCCCCTACATGCTGTTTTATAATCCACATTTTTTCACTGAGTCAAGAAGTTGGAATCAGAGTGGTCCACAAACAAACAAAACAGTTTAGTAGGGCTGGGGATGTGGCTCAAGTGGTAGTGCGCTCGCCTGGCATGCGTGCGGCCCGGGTTCGATCCTCAGCACCACATACCAACAAAGATGTTGTGTCCGCCGAGAACTAAAAAAGATCAATATTAAAAATTCTCTCTCTCCTCTCCCACTCTTTCTTTATAAAACAGTTTAGTAATTCTTGCTCTAAAATGTGACCTCAATATTGATGGTTTAGAAAAGCAAAAAGTGCCAGAACTCTTGATTTCTACTTTAGAACATAATCATCTTCAGATATTATTATCTAAAAATCAAATGACAACAAGGCTGCAGTGTGCCACTGGCAACTCAGCTGGAGGAGTGTACTCGGCCTGAGACCACACCAGAGATCAGGGCAAATTCAAAGATGATGCCCCGGCTGAGGGGAATGAGAATGCCTTGAGGTGAACTGAAGATGTACCCCAGGTAGAAGAATCACTGCAACCCTGACTAGGCCAGCTTTAGGAGAAGATGACTGGTGGAGCAGCTGTTCTACTCCAGTGTTAGCCTCTGGATAATCCTGCTCACAATTATCATCACCTTCTGCCCAGGCATGACCTGCTCTTATGTGTCTATCCTGTGGCAAAATGACAAGAAGCTCACCTAGGAACAAGCATCTGATATCAGGTGCTAATCTGAAGCAGAATCTACAAGGGAAAACGGAAGCTATATTCCCAGTGTTTCTTGCCTTGAAAATATT